AGTTGTTAATTAATTAGTTAAATTCTTGTTTTCATTTTTTTATATACATATGCTTACTCTAAGTTTTGTTGCTTTTTATATTCTTTCTATTAAATTAAATGCATCAGTTAGTTGATTACTTTATGGCACCTTTCAACAGGCCTCTTGCTCACAAGAGATTCATAAGCCTGACTCTTTGAACATAATTAAAGTTTTATACTTTTATGTATTTAGGCTCTTGTCGAAGCCAGACGTCAATATGATGAAATGAGGTCTTCCCGTTCCGCTCTTGAGGCGGAAGTCGAAACGGCGAAGCGTGAGTCTCGCAGTGCTGCTGCTGAGCTTGCCAGTCAGCTTGAAGCCTGGGAGCGTGACCGGGTTGCTTTAGAAACCAATTTGAAGGATATAAATGAGCAGAACAGCCAACTTCAGGAGCAGATGATAAAGGTGCGCCTAGAAATTATATATTAAGACTAATTCGCTTATAATCTAAAGAATTTCGCGCATAGTCTACGCTTTCATATTCAGAATGACTTTTGGTATCTTGAATTTAAACTTCATTTTTTTAAAAATAGTTTACTTAGCAAGCTGAATTGTATTTGCAAGAATCATGCGTGCCCTAGTCTTTTTGTATCGATAACATCATTTTAAAGATTGAATTCATTGTTTAGCTCGGAGTATAAATAGGGACTTTTATTAAATATAATTGCTAGTCGGAGTTATCGGGTCATCTTATATTATGTGTACCCATCATTTGTCCACTGCGCTCTCAGATAGTATTGATGTTTCATACTTGTAAGTATACCACAGATTAAATAATTTTTATTTTTTTAGATAAGCGGCCAGCTAATATCCCTTCGCAAAGTCACTGATTTGCCCTCTTCAACATCAACCGATAAAAGTGATTCTATTGACGACATTCGCACTTCTGAAGACTTACTACAGGTCATAAGGTAATTTTTTCGAAGTTTCTTTTATTTATTTCTTTATTTACAACATGCACTACTGACTTGTTAATTCAGCTTTGCCCGGAGACGAATCGCTTTTTAGGTGCACATCAAATCAAAGCCTATCTTCCTCTTTTGTTAAATTCGAATTACTCAATTTTTTTATTCACATTATCAAAGTTAGAATAACCTGATATGCGAAATTAGGGAATGTTAACGGTGTGAAGACCTGGATGGTGTGGCCTATAGTATAGTTGCGGTCTTTCGTTTTATGCAAGTTGTTTGACCTTTTCGCAATATCGTCGTATTATCAGGGCGTCGAGCAGGAAATTATTATGGAATCTATGGACTAAGGGCATGATGTGTTCCCCTAGGTCTCTGATAATGCGAAAAGTTGGGAAAACAAAGTCAAACTACTTATATAAGGGAAAATCGTTGTGGAGACTTTCATTTCATACGAAAGTCTATAATGCGGAGATTCTTTGGTTGATTTCACTGCGGCCGTTTGGCTTTAATTCGTCGTTAATGTTGACCAATTCCACGAGTCTTCATCCCTCATTTAGTGTCAGATCGAATCTTCTTCCATCATCCTAGATAGAACTTATTCTTGTAAAAGTCATCGATTTATAATTCTGCTTTTCCACTTTTTAATTTTTATAATTGAATAATCTAGATACGTTTTTTCTAATCTTATTGCAGGTGCAGCCTATGTTTATTTATGCCTATTAGAATAAGAACCTTTTGCTTAATACTTATTAATGCATTTGAGTACTCAGCTAAAAGGCAATGATAAACCGACTTTCCTTGAAATAATGTAGAAAAACTGGTTTTCGTTGTTGGAGTACTTGTCAGTTCGTTTTAAGAGGCGAGTGGAAGGGATTCGTAAACTAAATTCACTGGAAGTTAAGTTCGACCCAATAAATCCTCGCTAAACTTATGCCTGTCAGAACGGAATATCATTTTTCACAATAATTAATCAAGCATGAAGAGAGGTTGCCGGCTTCAATCCTACCTACCTGTAGCCTACTTTTGATCACTTAGTGAGACATTTCGTGATTTAAGGTGTATTCACTCTGTATTATTAAGGCGATTAAGGACTGGTAGTTGAATGGTCGGTTAGATATTCTATGCTTTTCCTATATGCTTGCTTAAAAAATGAAACAGTTATGGATGGCATATAAAGTCGATGCAATAAAGCTTGGAGCAGCTGTATTATGACTCGACATTTGCATCCTCCCATAAATCATATATTCTTTTGCTCTTGCAATATTGACGCATATGATTGGGTTCAATTGCATATATGCTTACTGCATATAGAGATCGTGAGTTGCCTAAGGCGTGGAATTCAAGACCAGATTCGGGACTAATCAAACCTCCTGTTGCTTGGTGGCACTTATTGCCCCCCCTCTAATCCCATCTAACATCCACAAACTGTTTCTTCTTAATTTCTTATATTTATTTATTCTATCTTTAGTGTTGGCTGTTTTATTGATTTGTTTAGATTACCTAATGTTCATTACTGGCATAATCTCCAGATATTTTTAAGCATTTGGCTTTAGACCAGTCTATCTGGTGTTCTGTATGAGCCATGCGTTAGGCCAGTTAAGATGTTTGGATCCAAAAATCCTGGCGGACTGCTTTATTTTCAGATAACCTCTTGTGAATAAGTTCTCTCCCACATAGACGCTACCAAATGAATACAAATCCTTGAAGTGGTATGATTTTGATAGAGGGCTTGAATTTTACCGAAATGAGAGCATTATCGTAGGTGTGCTTTTCTCG